CATACACACACACACACACACACACACACAAAACTGCTCAATGCCTTTAAGTCAAAGAATTGATAGTTCAAAATCAGGCTCCACTGGGCATATCCAAATAGATAATTATCAATTAACAAAATACAGTGGTGCCTCGCAAGACGATTGCCTCGCGGGAGGATTAATCCGCAAGACAATTGGTTTTTGCGGCCGCTGTTGTGCTTCGCAAAACGATATTTTCTATGGACGATTTTTCCCCATTGGAATGCATTAAATAGATTTCAATGCATTCCAATGGGGAGCCGCGTTTCGCAAGACGATGTTTCCGCAAGACAGCGTTTTTGCGGAATGAATTCATCGTCTTGCGAGGCACCACTGTACCTCCAATTTAAGGTGAACCTCAAGGGCAAACAACACTGGATCTAGTCAGGTAGGCACTTCCACAGATGAAGACAAAATATTTCTTTAACCTGCCTGCTTCCTAGTGGTTTTGGCAGAGTCTATAGGCAATGCACTGTTACTTGCATACCTCTGGCCCCACATACACAAGTCACTCGTTGAAGGGAACATCATTCAGGCAGATATTCTTTGCTGCTCATAGCAGGGTGGAGAGCATAACTGGGGAAAACCTGACCCTCCAAAATGGGCAGGACTTGAACCCTCAAAAACCCCAGCCACCACAGATGGTCATAAGGAAATGCAGAGATTGTAATCTGAAACATTTGGAGGGACCAAAGTCTCTCCACTCCTGGCAGAGGGGTCAAAGTCTGTTTTAACACAGAAGAAAGTGACAGATGTGCACAGTGGGCTGGCACAGCGAGAGGGGAGTCAGCTCTTGAAATTGATAAGTGAGCATGATAAATGTTGCAGCTGAGATTGAGGGCTTGCCTATCCTGCTCTATATTGCTATCATCTGCTTACGTAGCAAGAGCAGAATTTATCAGAGCTGATTTTGCTTAAATGATAAAAAGCTGTAACAAATTCATTTCTAATACTAGAACAGAGGACATACATGCCCTCCTCCACCAAGCAAGTTAGACTTGAAAACCCAGACACATAAAGAGACGAGGACAGCTGCCCATCTTTGAGAAACACATCTGAAGTCTGTGACACTGGTCGATAAAGAAGTCAATAGAGTTGAAAACTAAAACCGGCAAGTCCAATAAACAAGAATGCAAAGTGATGGTGCTCTTCATTATGAAAGACTTTTTAAGGAGAAAGGTGGGATAAAAATATTTTAAATAAATAAATAATCAAGTAAGAGACACTAACAATTGCTCTTTCTACTAAACATCCTGAATGTATCTAGTACTTTTCTGCTGAAGCATAATGCTCAAGTCTTAGTGGTCTGATTCTGCCATGAGTTTTGCAAGGTACTGGTCTGATTTGGGTAAGGGTGTCTGTATGTGGCCACCTGGCAAAGTAAATCACAAGTCAACTCCAGGACTGTTTTCTTAAACTCTAAATACAAAACCTCACATTTGAATATCTGAAGGCAAAAATCCACTAGATGTGCTTTAGCATCAGAAACCGAATGATTACATATATGCTATTAATAAGTAATACAGACTCTCTTACCACGTTCTGATTCATAAGATGTGCAACAAACTTGGAAGATGTTAGGCACAGTTGCTGGAAAACAGAAACATAAAGGTATCTATTCTTTTCTCTTTGTCTGCTTTTATTCTTTTTCATACTTTGATTCAAAACCCCTAAGTGGTTTACCCCAAAATCTAACATTTTTTCATTAAAAAAAAAAGGGGGGGGGAAAGAATTTCCTTTACTGGAATTTTTTAGGAGAGGGATCAGGGAATCTGTTTTACCCAGCCAGAGTAGCATATCCAGAAATAGTCATGCTTAGAGCAGACCTACTTGAATAAATGTGATTTAAGTCTGTTATGCCTAAGAATTTCCAGCAGCTTGTGTGGGTCCACTCTAAGTATGACCACATCTGGATACAAGACACTGATTGTATTTGTTCTTATGTTTTAAAAGGTTACAACCAACACTATTTACTTGGCTCTAGAAAGTTAATGTTTTTTCTCCAAACCAATGATTATTTTTGCAGCAAACAGGTTATGCAGACTCAGTGGAAACTGACTGCATGGAGAATACTCGGAAGTAGTCTACTCATCAGCTACCAATTGTCAGTTCAGGCTGCTGTAACTCAGGTAGCAACAGATTCCAGGAAACTTTTAGGTGATCCAGTAGTACAGGATCTTCCTGTACTACTGCATATTGTTTTTGTAGATGTCTCTTATACTTAAAGGAAGTTTGAAAACAGGTTTACCCTAAGAGTACATGTTACAGCATTCTTTTTTTTTGGGGGGGGGGGTCAATTCTTAGCACAAAGTCATACATATTTTATCCATTCTATCAACCACCCAACCATATCCCTCCATGCGGGATGTGAGGTCCACATCCAGTATGGTGACAATAAAGGCACTGCCTCCCTGGGGGCCACACATGAGCTTATCAGGCAGCCTTCCCCATTTTCTAGGGCTCTCAGCCCCAAAAGAACTTTGGCAAGCTGACCATGCTCCTTAACCTGCTCTGGTCTGAATCCTGACTCCCTCTCAAAGAAGTGCAACTGGATAGCATGAGCATCTCTAGCATCTGACAAGGCCTACGCCAGAGCCTCCTGAGTGAAACTGTAGTTAGCAGAGTGCACTCAAGTGAGTAGATGGGTTATATGTTAGAAAATCTACAGTACTGGTAAACAACAGCCCTCTGTGCTGTAGATTTACACAACTCAAATCTAATTTTGTTAACCTCTTCTTGTCAAGGGTACACTCGATGCAAGCCAAAGTGGGATGACTTTTTCAGTGGCAAGTCATGCCACTGTCTGTCTTCTAATGGAATTAAAGGACGTTTGCATTGTTTCTAAGCCCAAATGGCAAAAATGTTGTTTTCTTTACCACAGTCTTGATGTTACCCGTCTTCAATTATTTCACTCTCCTTTCTCAAAGTGGCAAACTCTAACTGTATTTTATATTTTAAGGCACTGGTTCTCAACCTTGGGTCCCCAGTTGGTCTTGGACTGCAACTCCCAGAAATCCCAGCCACCACATATAGTGTGAAGACTTCAAGGAATTGCAGTCTCAAAACATCTGGGGACCCAACATTGGAAACCACTGCTTTAGGGTACAGTGGTTTGCTGCTTCATTAATTACAATGTTCATACTTTTAAATTTAATAAATGTAATAATACAATTTTACTTGCTAAATTATATATATACATTTAGGTCTCTGGCAGCAGAGCCAGAGGTTCAGAATCCAGGGACTGGATTCAATGATTCATAGGGTTCCTTCCTCTGCAGTTCTAAGATGATGATGATGATTTTCTGTTCTTACTACAATAAACTCTAAATTCATTAAAAAGTATTGAAATATTTTGTGTGTGTGTGTTTGTGTGTGTGTCAGGGAAAGTGGTGCTGCTGCGGGCTAAACCACAAAAGACTTTGCTGCAAGGTCAGAAGACCAGCAGTCATAAGATCGAATCCATGCGACAGAGTGAGCGCCCGTCGCTTTGTCCCAGCTCCTCGCCAACCTAGCAGTTCGAAAGCATGCAAATGCGAGTAGATAGATAGGTACCACCTCAGTGGGAAGGTAAAACGGCGTTCCCTAGTCATGCTGGAAACTGTCTTCGGACAAGCGCTGGCTCTACGGCTTGAAAAACGGGATGAGCACCGCCCCCTAGAGTCTGACACGACTGGACTGAAAATGTCAAGGGGAACCTTTACCTTTATATCTACAGTGGTGCCCCGTATAGCGAGGTTAATCCGTTCCGGATTAACCTTCGCTATACGAAAACATCGCTGTGCGGGTAAGCAAAGCCTATTGGAACGCATTAAACTTAGTTTAATGCGTTCCAATAAGCGTGGAAACTTACCCCTCCAGCGATGTTGAGCCGCCGATCAGCTGTTCGGCGGCTCCAAAATGGCCGCCGGACGCCCCAATCATCGCAAAGGGAGTGCGGCGATTGGGGCTGATTCGTATAGCGATCCCCAAAAAGGGATCACTATACGGATTCTTCGTTAAACGGTGCGCTCGTTAAGCGAGGCACCACTGTATATCTATGTTATATTGCTAGTGCTGAGGGCCGTAGGATGTTTTATTATTTTTGGCTTCAAAATATGATAATCTGTGTTTCCTTGATGACCACATAATTTATACCCAATTTCAGAACACAGTAATGTGAGGGGGGAAAATCTCAGAGTAGAACGGCATTTCCAGAAAGCAGTATTTAAGTATTACAAACAGAAGAGCTTAATAAATCTTAGCCTATGATTATGCATGGTAGCTCTTCTTAACATACCTTATCATTTCTTCTGTATCCTTTACGAAAATTTAAAATGAGCCTCTTGAGAATCAGTTCTCCGATATTTGGAAATTTTGAATTAATGATTGCGACAACTGCTGCATAAACATGAGTGAAGATTGGTGAAGCACTCTGGGCTTGCAAAATTGATCTTGCAAGTAATCCCCTGTAAATGAGAATACAGGAATCTTGAATGACCTCAATTGGAATACAGGCCTCGGCAAGCACTTTCTCAGGAGGGAGGGGGAAGAGATATCTTTGGTCAGATCCAGATTCTGGCCCATGTAATGGAGCTACCAGATGCTGATCCCTCTCTTTCTTCACAATTCCTGTTCCAGCCTCAGAGAGCTGTGGGATACTGCTAAATGCAGCAGGCTCTGGTTACAGAGGATGAGAACTAGACAGATGCAGTTCTGGAAGAGGGACTTTCCTTAAAAAGGCACCACTGCCCAGTACTTGGGACTCACCCTTTCCTCATACCAAATGCATCCCCCCACCCCAATATTCTTCAAGTGCCACTTCTGGGCTACTGGAGGACTGGTACCTAGACCTGGATCCAACTCATTTTTTTAAAAAATGGTACAGTGGGGTCTCTACTTAAGAACGTCTCTACTTAAGAACAATCCAACTTAAGAACAGCTCCATTTGCTAAATTTTGCTTCTACTTGAGAACAGAAATCCAAGATAAGAACAGGAAAAAAAAACATTTCCTGCTCTTTTTTTAACCTTAGGTCATCTTAGGTTAAAAAAAATTCTCCCCCTAGTGGTAGACTACCTATTCACCAGCTTTTCATTAGTTCCTATGGGAACTAATTCTTCAATGTACGAACACACCTCTACATAACAAAAAAACAGCCAGAACGGATTAATTGGTTTTCAGTCCATTCCTATGGGAAATTTTGCTTCAACTTAAGAACGCTTCAACTTAAGAACACCATTCCAAAATGGATTAAGTTCTTAAGTAGAGGTTCCACTGTAGTTTCTATGGACGGAAAAGAGCAGATACAGATTAAATGGTTTTCAATGCATTCGTATGGGAAATGCAGATTCAACATAAGAACTTTTCAACTTGAGAACCACCTTCCAATACGGATTAAGTTCTTAAGTAGAGACCCCACTGTAATGGGTATTCCTATGGTTTCAACAAGCTGGCCTGAAGGAGAGGTACTTCTATGTGGTATTGTTTTGGATTTTTATTTAATCAACTCTGAACTGCCAATTATAGTTACATAATATTCATTATCCCTCTCACTATGGATCTATTCTGCAATCATAAACTGCTCAAGCACTAACACAGACAGGCAAAATAATATACCAGGGCGTTCTAGTAAGCAATGCTCAACAACTCTTTGCTCTTTGCTTAAAAAACAAACAAAAAACACTCCTGTATATCATCCTAACAGGAGTAACAAATAAAACCTAGTGGAAAGTATTTCCAAATAACTACATATAGCTTGCCCATCTATCAAAGGCACATTAATGTTTTTATGGAAAAGACCCTGTTTATGGCAAAAACTACTTCATTTAAAAAACAATACATTCAGAGTCGAGAGTGACTGGAGCAATTCCACCATTAAAAAGAAAAAGAAAATTCTGCTACTGAAGAAAATTGGTTAAAAATATTTTGGTTTTGCTTTTAAATTAAAAACAAATACAAGAAGCAATTACTGACTTTGCATATTTAAAAAAGCAATACTGCTATATATTGTAGATCGACTACAAAAATGGTATGGCTACGATATAACTATGCAATCAGAAAACAACTGGAGCATGATTTTTTTAAAAAAATTAAATAATCAATTAATTACAGCAAATATAATTTGTTTCCTTTCTCAGCTATAAATTTATTTTCATGATGACATTTAAATCTTTATTTATAAGATACTTATAAAGCTGCCAGCATCCTGGAGCAACATGCTTGTCGACAATCTGTTTTAATTAAAGTACTTAGGAAGCATGTCAGAAGAGGATCTTTTTGGATTAGCAGTTCATCTTATGCCACTGCTTATGCCTTATTACAGAAGCAATAAGTCTGTGACACAGCAGTCATCTCCACTGAGAGCTAATTATGATTTAAGAAAATGAGACAAGCAAATGACCGAACATTACACTACAGGAGGAAACAAATCATTCCAGAGCATAGGTCTTGTTTTCACTCAATTGTCATTGCCTGTAAACATAAACAAAGGAACTTTAGAAAATGGGCAAGTAGACTTCAGGCTTGGTGTTTCAACTTACCCCGAGATGCACTAGTTTATGGGGGCACAAAAAATAAACACTTTAATAGTAAGGAAGTCTGAACTGAGTTATTTGCTCAGAATACAATTCACAGTCTTGCCATAGACAGAATTTTTTTTCTGTACTTTCTTCATTTTGCAGCATTAAATTGGCTGGTAAGTCATTTTGCTGTTTCTACAAAGCATTCATATTTAATATCACAATACAGTGGTGCCCCGCATAGCGACAATAATCCGTGCAGCAAAAATCGCTGCAAAGTGATTTCATCGCTATGCGAAATTAAAAACCCCATAGGAATGCATTGAAACCTCTTCAATGCATTCCTACGGGCTTAAAACTTACCTCTTAAGTGAAAATCCTCCATATGGCACATTTTAGCTGCCCGGTAAGCGAGGAATCCGTCCCTGTTTTACCTGGCAAGCATTTTGGAACTGCCAATCAGCTGGGGAAAAATAATCGCTATGCGAAAATTGGTAAGCGAAACAGCTTACCGATCATCGCAAAGCGATTTTCCCCCATAGGAAACATTGTTAGGTGATCGCATAAGTGATTGCAAAAACATTGTCGCTATGCGGATTCGACGTTAAATGGGGCGCCCGTTATGCGAGGCACCACTGTATTGTAATGTCTGGTTCTGTTTTAGTTGATTTACCTGTTTCTCAATCTACAATTCTGCATAGTTTTTTATTTCCACCTCCACAAACCATACTGGGGTCATTGCCAATTGGATGGTATGTGAGGAATTCAAAGAATTAAATACAATAAATTAACAACTGGAAATTGGACATGGTTGCTGAATCTACTGCAAATTATCTAGCACAGTCCAATCTAGTTTCTGTCCACTGTTGTTCTAGAGAACAGGAAATAGACATCTAAAGCTATGCTAGCATAAATATTATCTCCCCCGCACACACCCCAACTACACTCTGCAGTACCCAAAAAAGTGATTCAAGGATTCCTCAGACCTCTCTGCAAAAGCTTTAAGGAATGGGGGGGTAGATGCAGGAAGGAGGAGGATCCCCTTTCCAGCAATTCCAGTTACTCCACTGGAGCCTGTCTGTTCTAACAAATCGGAGTGTTCAACCTTTTGGAAGATTTACTATATTTTATTAAAAATACTACAAATGGAGAACAGACAAGAAAGCCAAATGAAACCATTCTTAATACCCCCTTACAGTTTATTAAGGGATGCTTCAACCAATATTTAAACCTCAATGCTATCACATTTCGAAGAAGCAGAGTAAAACTGACAGCTGATGAAGCTGATACTGATAATTAGGGCATAATTAACAGATTAGAAGTCCATGCCATTGGCCGTAAAGGCGATTAACATCTCACTGTAAAGGGTGCACTGATGTTTTCATCAATGCAGTATGTTTTGTGATTGTACAGTTAACACCAATTAAATGTTTGCCACTAATTTTCCTTCAGTCAGGTCATTTTCCTCTCGATTAAAAATTCATCCTTCTCTAATCTTCTGCAGTGCAGCAAATAGCTCCTTGTACTTACGTCCAGTCATTCCAAAGATCTAAAATATGCTGTAACCCTAAATCAGAATATAACCACTCTAATTGGCAGGAGCACGAGTGATTTCTTTAAAACTCTCCAATTAAATACTAATTTGGAGGTTTTTAAAAAAGAACCACCCACTTTCATTGTTATTATGGTCTGTCAAATTGGCTGCAATCCCATGAATTTGTGACCTAGATCCTTGACAGCCCTGCCCAGCTCATCCAAACTCAAAGCTCTGACTTCCTGAGTCAATTCATCTTATTCTTGGTTTCCCTCTCTTCCTGCTACCTTCAACTTTTCCCAGTCTTCTTGCCTTTTCTGTCATGAGTCTTGTCTTCTCAAGATGTGCCCAAATTGTTATAATCTCAGCTTAGCTGTTCTTATTTTTATTTTATTTTATTGCTTCTAGGAGGGTTTAGGCTTAATCTGATCTGGCACCTACTTATTTTGTTTTGCTAGCAACCCATGTAAAGATCTCCTCTCACACTACATTTGAACTAAATACATTTTGTTCCTGCTGGCTTTCTTCACATCCAGTTTTAACATTCATACACAGTAATCAATAACCTGGTATCTTTGCTTTGGAAGGCCTGCTTGCAATTCTGCAATATTTTTACCCCTGTTCACATTCAAATGCAGAAGCATCAAATTACGATTATGCCATTGTATGTACAGTGGAAGTTCTAACTTGAATTGAACAGAGCCTACAGTTATTAAAGTCTTCTAATTGCTTGAAACGTAGTCCATAATTATAAGCTGAGCAGAAGATTGCATTGTATAAACTTGATGCTTACCTTCCTCTTACAATATTTTCTTGAAGAAGTTCATGGATAATATTCTCGATATTTGAAACATTCACCTTATTGATAAGACCATTGATGGATTTTTTCAGTGCTTCCCAACTCATCCTTTGATATGCCAAGCTGTTTCAAATAGTTAAGAGTCAAACTAGTTAGAAATGATATCAATTAGTCAGCTCAATATATTATTGCACATCTTCAGGTATTTTTATATACTACATAGAATCGATTTGAGTTGTCTTCTACCACTTCAGCTTTATATCCGCAAATGGCAGAGTACTTAACTATATCAACTAAAACTCATTGTAAATAAATATCATCGTTAACACTGAATAGAGACAGGCATGAACTATTGATCCAGTAGTTTATGCCAGTCTGTCCTTCAGATGAGCAGGTGTCTGGCGATTCCAAGCCTTGCCTCCTCCGGCAAGGGCCCACTCAAGATGCATCGCCCTGGCTTCCCTGCCCCGCCATCTCTGGGCGCTGATTCTGAGTGGACACCCACCAGAGGAGGGGAGGCTAAACACCTGTTTATCCGAAGGATGAACTAGCATCTCTAATTGTAACTTGCCTTCTGTCAAAAAGTGTTATCAGGAAAGTGAACCAAGAAGGGCAGTGTTGGCCTCACACTGCACAGCATATCAACTCCTAAAAGCCCCATCCAACATCCACAACAGCCAGAGATTCTGAGAGTTATAGTCCACCAGTGTCTAGAGACCGATGGTAGGGACCCAACTTAGGATTTCTCTGTCATTAGTCTTGCCCAGAACTTGAAAATAACTAGGTAATTGTTGTTGTGGGTTTTTCGGGCTCTTTGGCCATGTTCTGAAGGTTGTTCTTCCTAAAGTTTCGCCAGTCTCTGTGGCCGGCATCTTCAGAGGACAGCACTCTGTGCTCTGGTCCTCTGAAGCACTCTGTCCTCTGAAGATGCCAGCCACAGAGACTGGCGAAATGTTAGGAAGAACAACCTTCAGAACACGGCCAAAAAGCCTGAAAAACCCACAACAACCATTAGATCCCGGCCGTGAAAGCCTTCGCGAATACAACTAGGTAATTACTTGACTCTTCTCTCTCTCCTTCCACAACATGGGCTAACAAGTTAACCTGTTGACTAATGGCACTCGCTATCACAACTCAGAAACGATAGCATTTAATTAATCATATGTCAATTAATTTCCTCCTCTTCCCAAAGGGGTCCAGTAAACTAAATTTGCTGGTTAATATCACTCACTACTTCTCTGATGCCACAAGTAAGAAATCTACCTTGCTATTCATTGCAGAGAGTAGTTTCAAGGAGAACAGGACAGCAAGGGAACAACTGTGTGTGTTAGAAACTGAAGCTGGCAATCACTAAACATAGGAACCCCAGCCGTTGAAAAAACTGTGTTCTAGCAATTATTTCTGCAGGCTGTGTTTCTTGATTCTGAATAAGTGAGGAGGTACTGGATACAACTATTCAATAATACATATACACACAAAGTTATGCATATGCACAGAGGAAGTCAAGATATTTCTGATTAAGAGTTTCCCACCCCCTATTCACCAGCTGATTTTTTCCAGCTACTTATTGCTACATTTCACTATTACAGTCAATTAGTGTCTTCCAACTAGAAGGAGAACACCTTTGTTTATTTGCCTCTTCCAATCTAGTCAAAATGATACATGATGTCCAGACACTGAATCAATGGCATGCAGACTGACAGGAAAAACAGAGACAAAACCTTGATTGAACAAGTTGCCAGATCTCATACTTTGAGACAGTCTTTATCTACAAATCATACCAGCCTAAGCCATCAAACAGAAAGATATGCATGCCAATGCACCTATTAAGTGCCAGGTTAGGGAAGGCATCTTTAACACAAGATAACTAGCCCTTTTCAAGGAATCAACAGCAAGAAATACCACTAGCTAGCAACAGGGGAAACCAAACATCCCATTCTGTGTAAATCTCACAGCTCATTTTAGAAACTCTAAGAATTTAATCAAAGGGTTACTAATAATAAAAATTGGATTCCATGCCTCTTTGCCATAAACAATAAAAAATCATTTCTCCAATTCCAACTACCAATGTTAAATGAACTGGTTTTTAAAGTTCACATTCCAAGCTCTTGTCATGCCAGGCTACAAGGTTGCTTCCATGCAGCCAACTCTTTGCCCCCACCCCCTCCTGCAACCCCAGCTCCATGTTTTCCAGTTTAGGTGGGAGCATCAGGTGCACCAAGTACCAAAACACACCTAGGTGTAGTACGTGGACAACTCCAATTGTAAAATACAGTGCTGACATTTCACATACCTGTTCTTATCAGTGATCTGTGCTTGCATCATCCGAAGCTTTGCTGGAGGAATGTAGGCACCCCCAGTGCGGGTAAGAATTGGATCCAAACCTTCCTTCTTCTTCTTTGGAGGCGGCTCATCATGAGATACAGCTGATTTCTCCATAGCATTTCTTTTGTCAGGGGAAGGGGATTTCCTGTACCTTACTCGGTCAGATTCCCTCTCTCTTTCTTGTCTCTCTCTCCCCCTAAAGGTAGGAAAATACCATATATTGCAAGAGTTAGTGTCTTCGCTCGTGAGTACTAATAAATGATCAATATGGGGGCAGCTTTCCAAAAGGCAAGGAAAGGCCTTTCTATATCATATGGAACTGCAGCTAGCTACAGATGCCATGGTAGTCTGGATACTAATATCATATAATCTTTTAATGATATATTTTCGGGCTGACTCATATGCACTCCTGTGGAGATAGGCTGGGGAGTAACCCAGCTTTGATTTAGCTGTGGATGTCTTAGCTGACTGGGAGTCCCTTCCCATTTCTTCACTGGGCAATGAGAGTGGTGGTAAGGCTACAGGGAACACGATCTGAAGGCAGCCAGAACAGAATAGATGCTTGTTTAGCAAGACTACCCACAGAGTAGCATGAAATCTAAGAACGGATGGTGGCAATGGAAGTAACCTTGGTACTCCTAGTGCTCTGGTTAAAAAAAATATTTTGGATAGATTCCAATTCTGTAATATTTGAAAAATCCCACACTGGGGCTACATAAAGACTCTATTATACTTATTTTGAAAGTGAAACAGAACAAAAAAATCAGTCTTGCTAAAAGCTAAACAATGAACTTTACTTTCTTCTGCACTCAACATTCACCTTGATTCTGAGTGTTTGTCACTATAACGTCCCCTTTCTGAATGTTCCCGGTCAGGTCTACTATGGCTGGAATAACTTTTGCCTTGTGGTGACCGAGATCTTCCACGCTCTGCATACCTGTATTGAGATTGAAGGCAAAACTTTGTGGTTAGCTTTCTTTGAAAGGGATAGAGGAACCACCAGACAAGCATTGCACATGTGCTCTTGATTTTTCATATCAGTAACAGATGAGAGGCAGCATGTAATTTACTTCATGCCACAAATTATCTGATTCTTGAAACAGTAATACACACTATTGTTGTTTAATACATATTAACTTTGATAACTGCTTCCAAATGTGTCCACAGCCCCCAAACTGGCCCATTTTAGGAAAACCATTCCTCTTATAATCAACCAAAAAACCCATCTCCAAAATCACTGTTTCTATAGCATCTCAGCAACACCAAGCAATAATTCAAAAATAATTTTTACCTGTCTTCTGGAGAAGAACTTCTCTGGCGAGGACTGGATGCTTCTCTCCTTTCATAACTGGAACCAGACTTCAAGTAGAAAAATTATACAAGAGATAACTAAGCTTGAAGCCCCGTTCTATCATAAGCAGTAACACATTCAGATAAAACATGAAATACTTGGATTTTTGTTCCCATCCTGCATTCCTTCATAAGTGTACACTACTTCTTACCAGACAATTCACTTTCAGAGGCATATAGCAATGTAGGAAAAAATCTGTACAACATGATGTTTTCCAGCAGCGTGGATACACATGAACGTGTGATCCTTTTCAGGCCAATCCTACAGCACAATAGGATGATGCTCAATAGAACACCTGTTCTGCAGGACAAAGGTCCCAAGGGCAAAGACTGGCATCCACACACAGGGCAGAAAATGATCCTTCCTTTCCAATGCTAGTAACTGCACATTATGATATAAATGGCATGTTTCAGCTTTCTTTGTACCACATGATAGCCCCCCCCACCCCCACACACAAAATGCACCTTCAGCTCCTACTGTCAGCATTGCTGGGTTTAATGGGTAACCTGGTCAGGCCTCTACCATTTAAATCATAAATTTTAATGAAGACAAGCAGCAGCTGCCATTTGTTGATTGTCCTGCTAGGCTTTCTGTTTATTTGCTTTCAAGCAAGTGTTCATGTTTTCCAGAGAAAGGGCACATGAGCAAATAGGGCAGATTGCATATGATGCTCCTCAGCCACCCATCAGCTTGAACTTCCTCCACAACAGCACCAAGAAAGGAACAGCTGAAGCCACTGCTTGGCTTCTGGCTTTCACTCCCTTGTCCTTTCCCAGGTTTCCATTTTTGCAGAAGGATTCATGATTCTCAGGACACACAAGCCTTCCCATCAAGAAATACTGTCTGCATAAGAAAGCAAGATAAATCTGCAGACTTGTGCTGCTCTTCCTACCTTTACCACTGAATTTCTCCCCACTCCTCCCCCACCTAGAAATGAAGAGAAACTCCAGTCCAAGTAAGGGCTTGGTCCCACTGACAAAAAGAACTGTGTAATGCTTCTCAAAAAAATGTTTAAAATAAAGTGTCTCCATGATGTAAACAGAATTATTTTGCTAAGGAAGCATGTTTTCTGGTTGGAAAAGTGACCTAGACTACTGTTCTGCCAGAGGGTCATCTAATTTAGCACACGTTAATCTGGATTCACTTATGCATACGTACATCCCTGCAAATTTTATCTCTGGGTAACCAGTGGAGGTGGTGGAACAGATAGCAGGAAGGAAGGAGGTATGGATGAGCACAGGAGAGGAAGGGTCTGCTCTCAAAGCTGCTTGTTCCTTGGGCAAGCTGCTTCTACCCCTTTAAGAATGTTCCATCTGTTCCCTGGGAGGCAAGGAGAAGGTCCTTGTCTTATTTGTTCCTACTTTTCCTCACCAGGCAGCTTTTCATGGAACAAAGTTTAAAATGGGCAGAGAGAAGCCAGGAAAAACCAGTAGGGCTGCTTGGAAAACTGGGCAGCTGACAACTGCATCATCGTTCTTGAAGGGACAGAAACAATCAAACTTTCTAATGGGACAAAGAGCTTAGCCAGCAGACCCCCACCCCCAGCAGCAAGGGTGAGTGTTCAGGATGAGGGCAGGGTGGGCAGAGGACAAAGCCAGCGCAGACCACTCAACCAAGATACAACACAGCTTATCAATATAAAATTCTCCCAAGAGGGCGCACAAACTGGCTAATACCATGAGACACCATATGATTTCTAAATTGATTCAATTTAGAAAAGAGCTTGAAAGGCAAACAAGCCCTAACACAATGTGAAAGTGTCCTCAAGAAGCAAAATCCATGAGTCAACAAAGAATGCACCCTTTTCTTTAACTGTTACTATTATTATTACAAATACTACTTACGTTAACCTGTGCCACTCCACTCTTCATGGTTTTCTTCTCAATGTACTTCAGGATTTTAATCACTTTACAGAAATCAAGCTGGGAAATCTATGTTATTCTTCTGCCAAAAACAGTTCACCTGGGAATGCAATTTTAAAGCAAAATTTATTTGAAATTCTTAAAATTCTTAAAACAGGAATAACTATGCTCTGAAAGTAGATCACCTACAAGCTAACAAATTTAGCTTTTGTTTAATACCCTGTTTCCCTGGAAATAAGCTGTAGTATGATTTTTCAGGATGCTCGTAATATAAGTCTATCCCAAAAATAAGCCCCAGTTGAGTGAAACCCCAGCCTCCATCATTGTGCAGCAACCAGAAGATGATGACAGGACTGTATCTGAATAAATATAGAATGCCGCACATGAAAAAAAAGATATCCCCAGAAAACAAGACCTAATGCTTTTTTAGGAGCAAAAATTAATATAAGACCTTGTCTTATTTTTGGGAAAACAGGGCATATAGCATGAACCCTCATTAAAGATTTTTTAGATGAGAATCAAAACAAATATTCTTGGTAATTTAAGTACTGTTTCTCAGGACGTTATGGTGACAGTAAATTTGATTACTTTACCAATCCACCACCTGGTTCAAGCAGTCCCATTCCAGGTAGGGACCATTTACTTTTTGGCCTCTGGAAAAATTTAGAATTGGGTACTTGTCTCTCACTCTTCTGTGTGTAGCTCAATGTTTCCATAATAATAACGGATACATTACCAACTCAATCCTAACTAGAGACCCAAATGACAATTATCAAAAGGAATTACAAAACCTTATGAAAAACTTCCCTGAAAATATATATGAACACATTCTGACTAACACACTGCAAGAACCTCAACCAGCCACTTTCCACCTGCTATCAAACATACACAAATCAGGGAACCCCACCACAGCCACTGTATCGAACATTAATACTGTCACTGTGGACTCCATCCTCAAACCATATGCCACCAGTGCACCTAGCTACTGTATGTAAGAGATACCACAGTTTCTAAGGAAATTTCACTCCACTCATTATCTCCCTGACAACACCATCCTAACTATGATGGATGTAGAAGCTCTTTATACCAAGTTCCCCCAAAGAGACGGCCTATAAGCTGTCAGGAACATCATTCAAAATAAGGACTAAGTACACACAGTTACCACCCTCTACAATTCATTCTTACACACAACTATTTCACCTTTGAGTTATCTGCAACTTTATAAATGTTAGACAGATGCAAACATTACAACAAAGTATACAGAACTGCAACCAACTGGCAGCCCATTTCAGATTGAAAAATTAAATGCATCTAAGCTGTCAGGAACATCATTCAAAATAAGGACTAAGTACACACAGTTACCACCCTCTACAATTCATTCTTACACACAACTATTTCACCTTTGAGTTATCTGCAACTTTATAAATGTTAGACAGATGCAAACATTACAACAAAGTATACAGAACTGCAACCAACTGGCAGCCCATTTCTGATTGAAAAATTAAATGCATCCGTCAAGACCTTGAGTCATTTAGCCCAACAGATCACATTGAGCGGTCTAATCATGCACCATCTAGTCGGGGTTTACTGGATCAGTTTCAATTATTAAGGCCTCAGGAAATGAACAACTGTAAGCTAATACCTCTTTTTTTAGATCCTTGCCTATCTTGGCTGTTAAAATCTGCCAAGAATATAACAGTAGAACGGGCCACCCATGTCATCAATTGTCTCTTCAGGAAGGCCATATGCCCTCCTGCTTAAAATACATGATAAGGCCAATTCTTAAGAAAACAAATCTGGTGATGGATGATCTAAACCCTAGGTTCTTAACCTTTGTTACTCGGATGTTTTTGAACTGCAACTCCCAGAAACCCCAGCCAGCACAGTTAATGGTGAAGGCTTCTGGGAGTTGCAGTCCAAAACTCCTGAGTAACCCAAGGTTAAGAACCAGTGATCTAAACAACTACAGATCCATCACAAATAGTTATTTTTGGGGCAAGTTAATTGAGAGGGTGGTCTCTGATCAGCTGCAGACATTATTGGAAGAAAATGATAGTCTGGATCCATTTCATTTGTGTTTAAGCCACTATCTATGGAAGCATGTATATCAGCTGTGTCCAGGAGTGCCTTTTACCAGAAAGTGCTTGAAGCGCTATGGGTCAGTATATAAGCAGCATGCTTTGCTTTGCTTAATTTATAAACTGTCCAAAGTAGTTTGTCCATTAGATGGTCAGTATAAAAATCAAATACATACATGCATACATAAAGTATATTTTTAAAGATACTGCACATCACAGCATTCCAAGGTTGGGGAGAAGGGGAGTGAAATGTCTGAACAGTGGCAATTTAAAGATTTTGTGCTGGTTTATCAAACGTTTCCCAGAGACAGCACAGCTCCTTCCATCAGCAAGAGGTTTTTTTAGTGGGTGGGGAGTGTTTGGGGAATTTTATGTGTGTGCATGTGTCTGGTCTCTGGGTGTCTGTGAATTTCATTGTATGGGTATACTGTGCATATACTTACAATGACAATAAATTATTATTATTACCCTTATCACACACAGATGTTTGTATTTTTAGTGGGGACTTTTAGTGGGTGGGGAGTGTTTGGGGAATTTTATGTGTGTGCATGTGTCTGGTCTCTGGGTGTCTGTGAATTTCATTGTATGGGTATACTGTGCATATACTTACAATGACAATAAATTATTATTATTATTATTATTATTATTATTATTATTATTATTATTATTGATCAAGTGGGGCTCTTCTGTTGATTGAACACAGAAGGAAGTAATCTTCACTAATTCTGCTTCCCCCCTATAGTATGTCCATCCCCTAATATCTGTTGTATAGGGTTGTGAGGATGTAGCAAAAAAGGAGTGCAGAGGAAAACAAGTTTTGCAAAGCTGTTCCTTCCCCAAACTTTCCAGAAGTGAGAGAAACCTCGGTCGGAATCTAATGATATCCTAACCTGCAAGAAGAAAACAGCTCTGTGTTCTGCCTGTTGCCTTGTAACGCCAGGAAAAATATCTTACTAGCAAAGTCTGAGAGGAAGGGTGTATACCTAACAGTCTCTCTGTGTGAGCAAATATCATCCTTATAATTTTGCAGACAAACTTCTCAGAGAATTGAGAGAAGGTAAGAAACAGCACAGGAGAGAGAAACTCTCAACAAGTATTGGGAAGATAGGTTTGTCGTGGTGGCCCATATTTGAGGTATGTGATGTAAATCAGAGAGGCAACACTAGGTACATCACTGCATGCGAGAATAAAAATAAAATTGATTTTGAGACACTGAATACCCAAATGTGCCAAGCTGCTTTCCTACTATCTGCTCACAGTATCTTCCCATCACTTTCTCCTCCTTTTCAGTGTGGTCTCCAATTTTCCTACTTAAGGGATGGTAATGCAACAACTCAGCATCTGCTCCCCCTTCCCCTGCCACTGGATTGCCACCAAGCTCTATAGCAATAACAACGGAGAATAGGGGTGACAGAGGAAATAGTCCAAGATTCTGTTTTTTGGTATTTTGTGGGTTCATGTTCATAAAGATTGATGAAGATGGTTCTTACACAAAATACTTGGATGATACTGAAAAATAGGAATGTTGCCCTAATGGCAGAAACTAAATAATTTGCAGAATATAAAACTTGCAACACAATTACTGGAACCATTTTTTTGTGATTGTTGTTTAATTTTAAGCTATGTTTTTATACATACATGGCCTATGGACAGCAACTCCCGCTGACCTTAGTCACCATGGGCAACTGTGATGGATGATGAGAGATGCAGTCCAAAGCATCAGAAACATCACAACCTGCCCATTTCTGCTTAAGCACAACATAGCAAGGACAATATTCCACTGAAAATATTAACGAGAAATACAACAAGCCATCATTTAAAGCACTGGTTCTTAACCTTGGGTTACTTAGGAGTTTTGGACTGCAACTCCCAGAAGCCTTCACCACCAGCTGTGCTGACTGGGGTTTCTGGGAGTTGCAGTTCAAAAGCATCTGAGTAACAAGGTTAAGAACCACTGAAAGCAGTCTGAATTACAAAAATCAGCTGCTGCCATTACTAATAGGGCCACACAAAAAAGCACTGCTTCCCTGCAAGAAGACTGCTGTTTCCAAGGCAACAGTGCAAGTCCTCATTATTCTGAATCTAGGTCTCTGCATTCAGGAACACTTTTTTCTGCTGATCTAACTTTTGCCAAATTCCTCTTCAATGCAAAACTATCTTTTGCCAAGGTAAATCAACCCAGAGTGAGGGGTAGCATATGTTGAGTCACATCCAACTTAGGGCAAGGCCTATAAAGTTTTCAGGGTGTGTGAGATGTTCAGGAAAAGTTTTACCATTTCTACCCCTCCTCCTCCCCAGAAGTGAGTATACAGGGATTTGAACCCAGGTCTCCTGAGTCGTAATCGACCACTCTGTCCATGAGACCACACTGCCTGCCGGAGATAGAATATGCAGTGCAAAAAGAAATCACCTATGTTTACGCTCACAATCAGTTATTATCATGAGCATCATTATCATTTAAAATATTTTCACCCCGCCTTTCTCCTTAAAATGACCCAAGAAGAGCACCCACTTAGGTAGGAAAGAAAAAGGGGAAGCGGGAGAGAAAAAAAATGTGCCAATAAGTTTTTTTAATTATATACTCCTTGTTCTTAGGTTTACATATGGCCTTTTAATGAGGTAAACCACCGTGGGATACTCCTTATTTTTAGCTTTTAAATGTTGTCTTTTTAATAATGTAAGCCGCCTTGGGTCCTTTTCAAGGAGAAAGGAGGGGTAAAAATATTTGAAATAAATAAATATCACAGGGGCACGGAAGAGAGAGGCGGGGGCAGCTAAGGAGCCGCCCTCCTACCAAAGCCAGGAGGGGTCGCCTCCCGGCCGTATGCGTGCCCACGTGTGTATTGACCTACATGTGTTGGTGGGACATACGAAGAGACCGCTTCCCGCAAGAAGCCATCCTGGAGCACGGAGCACGAAGAGGAAGGCCCGAACGGCTCCCTCCGCCTCGGCCGCCCAAGCGAGGAAGAGGCCTGAGCAGTGGTCCTCCCGGCCCGTCGGAAAATCACTCCGCTTCCCGTCGCTAAGGCAACGGAGAAGGCCCAGGTTCTGGCGGAGACCAAACAGCCCCCTCCCAGCTAACCCTCTCCCTCCGCACTTTCCCGTCCTCTTACCTCCACCTCCCGAGCTCCGCCATAGCGCCCGCCCCGATACAACGACGGCACCACTTCCGCTCGCAGGCTCTCCAATGAGAGGGAAGACGGGAGGCAGGACTTCTGCGCGAAGCCGTGCGCTGATTGGATGACATCCTCTCTTTTTTTTATTCCCCTCCCCCTCGCTCTTCTGAAGATGGATTTACTTCTTTCAAGCGGTTCCTTTATCTTGCTTTCAGAGCGGGGTCCCAACGTCCTCAAAACACTCGGCTAGGACGGTGTGGAGTATGCATTCTTTTAACATAATAAACTACAATTCCCAGGGTTCTCTGCGCCATCGCGGATTGACTCCGTTTCCCGACGTTCCCTGTGGATACACGCGCTCTCTCAGCCTACAATTCCCAAGATGCTGCGCGACAAGACTGTCCGTCGACTGCCCAGAACAGAAGGATGAGGCTTTGGTGGCCCTTTCTGAGGCAGGAGAGGAGAGATGTTAATAGGGGCGGGTGGCGGGAAGCTTTGCAAAAGGCCAGGGCACCTCTCTGTGTATCTGTCCGACGTCTACACTGCCCATCTGGCTCCAAAGCCACTCTGTGCAATTTGCAGCACAATAAAACAATCAATCACATTTAAAAGAAAATATTGGCCAAAATAGTTATTCAAAAAGTCAAAATCAAAATTGCAACACACGATCAAAACTAAGCAAAAGAACAATTCTGAGCGGCTAACAACAATTAAAATTCAACACCACCCACAAAGACATAAATTAGAAAGCCAAGAAACATGAAAAATCCAAGGAACACCACCCACAAAGACATAAATTAGAAAACCGAGACACATGAAAAATCCAAGGTGTCCCCCCCCCCCAACAGGTGCCCCCCCCAAAAAAAACCGAAAAAGAAAGAAACTTGGACGCAAATCTAAATCAAGATAGCCACAGTTGAAAGGAAAAGAAGCTGTAGATGCAACAAAACCATCCAATCATTGGAAACATGACAGTAAATGTGATAAAACTGAAAATCTATTTTGGATAGGGCAACAGAGCAAACGCAACAACGTCTCTGGAAAAACAAACAAGGAAGTTTTGGAAAAGGTCGCTGGGTTAATCTGTGCAAGCCTGTCAGGCAACATCCAAAGAAACAAAACAAAAAGATAAGAACGTGGCACCTTAAAAACTATTACAGTATATTGTAATAGGAGCTTTTGTGGAGAGGAGTGAGACGGAATGACATATACTGTACATACAGGGCAGGCATAGAAAGGTCACAAGGTAACTGACACAAGATTAAACACAAGGAACTCACACAACAAATGAAATATTTCACTGCCTTTAGCTTGTCTGCTGAAGAGGTTTATTGCAGGCCATGAATCATGAATGGATTCCTATTTATGGGTTCACAAATTAGGTATTTACTTGGAAATAAATACTGTTGATTTCAGGGGGTTCTTCCTTCTCCACATAAGGCCCTGTGCAGTGCAATCCTATACTGTATGTGGTTATCCAGCGTGAAAAGGACAATTCCACTGCCCAAAAAATAGTGCAGGGTTGGTCCAGGATTGACATGGGCAGATTGGTAGTCTTTTCTGCTGGCCACACAAAGTACAGTTCAATATTAATCAGCCTGATCTTTTTATCTGGATCTTTTCCTCCACTGCTAGGACTTCCACTTTTTTAAAAAAGGGAACACATTCACATTGGATCACACTGGTGTGTGACTGCTTGTAGAAGAGCAATCCAAGCAGGTGCAGGGTGGTGTTGAAGGCAATATTTTAAGTGGGGGATGTTCTCTGTGACTGGGGGCTCTCTCCTGTCCCCTCCAAAATAATTTTAACTTTGTCTTATTGTTAGAATGATTGCTAGATCATTTGGTTGCTGGAGGGCTGGGGAGAATCTCTTTGCATCTGTCCCCTGATGTCTTCCCAGGATTTCGTTAGCTGCTTTGTCTTCACAGTCCCCACGTGCCGCCCCCCCCCCATGCTTTGTATGTGATTTCAGGTGCAGGATCATTGGTCTGTGTTTTTGCCAGACATACCCTGTTGACCAGCTATTTCCAGTGGGATGATGAATTCTATGAACAGACAGATGGAGTGGGCATGGGGAGCCCCCTCAGCCTGGTTATAGCAAACTTCTACATGGAGCATTTCAAAAAACTTGCCCTGGCTTCGGCACCCATTGCACCTACAGTCTGGTTCCAATATGTGGATGACACCTTTGCAATTTGGAGCCTGTTCTTAGATGTCATGGTCCTACACAAAACTGACCTCCGACTGGGACACAAGGTCTACAGAAAACCCACCCATACACAAAAACTCCAACCACCATCCACAGCAAAAAGGAGGCATAATCAAAACACTGGTAGACCGTGCAAATCGGAACTGTGAAGCTCAGTTTCTCAGCACTGAACTCAACTATCTGAATTGGGCCCTACAGGCAAATGGCTACTCCAAAAATGAAATCACAAGAGCCATCAAACCAAGAAAATAACACCGAACTGAAGAAGAAAAACAGCCGCCCACAAATAAAGTATTTCTGCCATACATCAAAGGGGTCACGGACCGCATGGGGAAACTTTTGAAAAAACACAACCTACAAACAGTGTTCAAGCCCACCACAAAAATACAACAAATGTTACGATCAGCAAAGGACAAAAGGGACTCCCTCACCACTGCAGGAGTATACCGGATACCTTGCAGTTGTGGCCAGGTATATATTGGAACCACAAAACGAAGCATCCACAGCAGAATCAAAGAACACGAGAGACACTGCAGACTAAAACAGCCAGAAAAATCTGCAGTAGCTGAACATGCCCTAAAGCTGGACATGAAATTCTATTTCAAAATATTGAAATACTGGACAACACCAGCAATCATTACGTCAGAAAGCACAGGGAAACCATTGAAATCCACAAGCACCAGCAGAACTTCAACAAAAAAGAGGAAAGTTTGAAACTCAAAAAACTTGGCTCCCAGCTCTGAAAAATACAGTGTGCAAAAGGTCAACAAACTCTACCCAGCCACAAGGACTGGTGATCACTACAGACAAAAGACCACCTAATGACATCCATCAATCACAGTGACAGATAATCTCTCCTCCTCCTCACAACAATACACCCACAACAAGACACACTAATCACCCGTCTCCTGAAAAGGACAAAAGCTGATCTCACGCCATTAATACTTCACTCCCAAGCAAACTACACCAGAGCACAGAGTGCTGTCCTCTGAAGATGCCGGCCACAGAGACTGGCGAAACGTTAGGAAGAACAACCTTCAGAACACGGCCAAAGAGCCCAAAAAACCCACAACGACCATTAGATTGTGGCCGTGAAAGCCTTCACAAATACATACCCTGTTTCCCTGAAAATGAGACCTAACCTGAAAATAAGACCTAGTATGATTTTTCAGGATACCCGTAATATAAGCCCTACTCCAAATTTTAAAAAAATCCCCTGAAAATTAAAATAAAATAAGCCCTAATGCTTTTTTTGGGGGGGGGGAACAAAAATTAATATAACGCCCTGTCTTATTTTCAGGGAAACACGGTACTGCTATATCAAATCAGTGTTAAAGTGTCTGTAGAAAAACCTAAAACAAGGAAAAAGTGCAAGCAACCACTACCAATTAAAGTGGACTAAGAGGGTGGTATTTGGGCTCTCTGTGTGTCTTCATTGACCACTAACCACTCCTGCTGCTTGGGCTAGTTGACTAAATAAATATGGCTCTACTCACTGTGAGTTGGAAGAGCATTAACAATGACAGAGGAGGAGAGGGGTTGTGGTAGTAAGTGCACCATATTTAGGAGCAGTGAGGGCATTTGCTTTGAGGCCACTCTGTATTATTTAACATTTCCATATGTTTGAAAATAGCACTTTTCAAGTCAAAGTAGGCTTAAAATTGGTCCACTTCATATCTGAATCAAAATGATTCAGATGTCAGTGTTAGAATCTACTCCCACTTGAGCATCATGCAAGTGTTTAGGAATAGGCTCAGGCTTCCGGTTCCCATTTATGAAGAGAGAATCTCAGTAGTCTTTCAGGGACATTGTGAGGCTGGTAAACATTGCAAAATGCTGGGTTGTAAAAATGACTGAAAAATAATATTAGGTTTTATATGTCTTACCTTGAATTCAATTACAAAGGTTGTTACCAGCTTGTCTTTGCATCGACTGAACAGCCAGGGCGAGAAAACCCATAGCTCAAAAATGCCAGAAATCTCATCTAAAATGAAATACATATACGAAGCAACAGGAATGTAAAATTAGCAGAGTAAAATAATAATACAGTTGTATGCCTTTTGAAGGAACCTAACCAGTTGGCTGCCTGGGTGTACATGGTATGTGGCTAATTAGCATTTTAATTTGAGCACGGTGAGATGCTGCTGAAATTGTCAAAATTCAGTGGTCTTCCAATAGCACTAACTGTTTTTAGCACCTATCTTACAGGAGGAAATGTAACATCTCCTTGGATGCTATGACTGCAAAAACATTTTGCTGATGAAGCAGCAGGCAAGGTCCAAAATCCTGTGGTATATGGAACCCATCTATGGACAGTGAGTTTAGAAAGAGAGAAGAATGATTTGTTTGCAAAATTCTTCTCTCGGAGCAGATGGTGTGACATGCGCCTTGCCTTCTCTTGCTCTCCTGAGACTTCAAATCATTTTACTATAAGAAGCACCATTTTCATTTTACACTTTACTGTGGTCAGCGTCAACAAAACATTTCCCGACAGTGTAATAAGCTCTGTTTTTAAAACCTACACAAAATGTTCTGCTCAGTCACATCTCCAGGCTTTTAAAGATAAAAATAGGGACCCGTGTCTCTCCTGAAAAGATCTCTCTGGACTCTTCAACCACCATGACACATTGTGGAAGATTTTCTTCCTTTGACCGTGTTGTATTCTTCTAAACTTTTATAGTCTGGCCTCTGCTGATTGTAAAACCAGAGACATGTTTTCCTTTGGATTAAAAATGTGCAAACATAACAATATTGACAATATGTTAATAATTAAAATTATACCTCAGCAGCTATAGATGTTGGCCGCAGATGTTTTGGGCTACAATTTCTCAAGTTTTTGCCATTGGCTATGCTGGTTGGGAGCTTCTGGGAACTGAGGT